TTTTGGACACTTTAGGATTACTAGAAGTTTAGAATGTTTAAAATTTCTTAGACTTTTAGGACTTCCAGGATTTTTAAATTTCTACTAATTTTTGCATTTTTCTTATATTTAGAATCTTAGAAATTGAAGTTATTTATAGTTTGAAATTGCTCTAATCTTTCTAATTTACAGAATTTGTAAGTTTTTTTTTTAAATTTGTAAAGTCTTTAAATCATTAAACATTTTGGGATTACTAGAAGTTTAAAATTTATGAAATTTCCAGGATCTTTAAGGCTCTCTAGAATTTCTAGGATTTTTAACTTTCTAGGATTTTGTTAGATTTTACTTATCTCTAGATTCTTCGAATTTTAGTTTATCTACAACTTGGAATTTCATTAATCTTTCTAATTTATACGATCTTTAAGGTCTTTAGAATGTCTGGAGTCTTTAAAATCACTGGACATTTTGGAAATTTTAGGATTACTGGAAGTTTAGAATTTCTATGATTTTTAGGACACTCCAGGCTCATCAAGTTGCTGGGACTTTGTTGGATTTTTCTTACATTTATAATTTACATTCTAGAACTATAGTTTATTTAGAATTTGGAATTTCTGTAATCTTTCTAATCTACACGATTTTTAAAATTTTAGAATGTCTGGAGTCTTTAAATAATTGAATATTTTGGGATTACTACAAGTTTAAAATTTCTGAAATTTCCAGGATCTTTAGGGCTCTCTAGCATTTCTAGGATCTTTAGGAGACTCAGGATCTTTAACTTTCTAAGATTTTATTGGATCTTATTTATATTTAGAATTTTCGAATTTTTGTTTATCCACAAATTGGAATTTCACTAATCTTTCTAATCTATAGGATCTTAAGGTCCTTAGAATGTCTGGAGTCTTTAAAATCACTGGACATTTTGGAAATTTTAGTATTACTAGAAGTTTAGAATTTCTAGGATTTTTAAGACGCCCCAGGATCATCAAATTCCTAGGACTTTGTTGGATTTTTCGTATATTTAGGCTTCTAGAACTATAGTTTATTTAGAATTTGGAATTTCTCTAATCTTTCTAATTTACACGATTTTTAAGATTTTTAGAATTTCTGGAGTCTTTAAATATTTGAACAATTTGGAATTACTACAAGTTTAAAAATTCTGAAATTTCCAGGATCTTTAAGGCTCTCTAGCATTTCTAGAATCTTTAGGAGACTCAGGATCTTTAACTTTCTAGGATTTTATTGGATCTTATTTATATTTAGAATTTTCGAATTTTAGTTTATCCACCACTTGGAATTTTACTAATCTTTCTAATTTATAGGATCTTTAGGGTCTTTAGCATGTATGGAGTCTTTAAAATCATTGAACATTTTGGAAATTTTAGTATTACTAGAAGTTTACAATTTCTAGGATTTTTAGGACCCCCCAGGATCATCAGATTTCTAGAACTTTGTTGGATTTTTCTTATATTTAGGCTTCTAGAACTATAGATTATTTAGAATTTGGAATTTCTCTAGTCTTTCTAATTTACACGATTTTTAAGATTTTTAGAATGTCTGGAGTATTTAAATATTTGAACAATTTGGAATTACTACAACTTTAAAATTTCTGAAATTTCCAGGATCTTTAAGGTTCTCTAGCATTTCTAGGATCTTTAGGACACTCAGGATCTTTAACTTTCTAGGATTTTATTGGATCTTACTTATATTTAGAATTTTTGAATTTTAGTTTATCTACAACATGGAATTTTACTAATCTTTCTAATTTATAGGATCTTTAGGGTCTTTAGCATGTATGGAGTCTTTAAAATTATTGGACATTTTGGAAATTTTAGCATTACTAGAAGTTTAGAATTTCTAGGATTTTTAAGACGCCTCAGGATCATTAAATTCCTAGGACTTTGTTGGATTTTTCGTATATTTAGGCTTCTAGAACTATAGTTTATTTAGAATTTGGAATTTCTTTAATCTTTCTAATTAACACGATTTTTAAGATTTTTAGAATGTCTGAAGTCTTTAAATATTTGAACAATTTGGAATTACTACAAGTTTAAAATTTCTGAAATTTCCAGGATCTTTATGGCTCTCTAGCATTTCTAGGATCTTTAGGACACTCAGGATCTTTAACTTTCTAGGATTTTATTGGATCTTACTTATATTTAGAATTTTCGAATTTCAGTTTATCCGCCACTCGGAATTTCACCAAGCTTTCTAATTTATAGGATCTTTAAGGTCTTTAGAATGTCCGGAGTCTTTAAAAGCACTGAAAATTTTGGAAATTTTAGGATTACTAGAAGTTTAGAATTTCTATAATTTTTAGAACCCCCCAGGATCATCAAATTGCTAGGACTTTGTTGGATTTTTCTTACATTTAGGCTTCTAGTACTATAGTTTATTTAGAATTTGGAATTTCTCTAATCTTTCTAATTTACACGATTTTTAAGATTTTTAGAATATCTGGAGTCTTTAAATAATTGAATATTTTGGGATTACTACAAGTTTAAAATTTCTGAAATTTCCAAGATCTTTAAGGCTCTCTAACATTTCTGGGATCTTTAGGACACTCAGGATCTTTAACTTTCTAGGATTTTATTGGATCTTACTTATATTTAGAATTTTCGAATTTCAGTTTATGCGCAACTTGGAATTTCACCAATCTTTCTAATTTATAGGATCTTTAAGGTCTTTAGAATGTCTGGAGTCTTTAAAATCACTGGAAATTTTGGAAATTTTAGTATTACTAGAAGTTTAGAATTTCTAGGATTTTTAAGACGCCCCAGGATCATCAAATTCCTAGGACTTTGTTGGATTTTTCGTATATTTAGGTTTATAGAACCATAGTTTATTTAGAATTTGGAATTACTCTAATCTTTCTAATTTACACGATTTTTAAGATTTTTAGAATTTCTGGAGTCTTTAAATAATTGAACAATTTGGGATAACTACAAGTTTAAAATTTCTGAAATTTCCAAGATCTTTAAGGCTCTCTAGCATTTGTAGGATCTTTAGGACACTCAGGATCTTTAACTTTCTAGGATTTTATTGGATCTTAGTTATATTTAGAATTTTCGAATTTTAGTTTACCTACAACTTAGAATTTCACCAATCTTTCTAATTTATAGGATCTTTAAGGTCTTTAGAACGTCTGGAGTCTTTAAAATCACTGGCCATTTTGGAAATTTTAGTAGTACTAGAAGTTTAGAATTTATAGGATTTTTAGGACCCCCCAGGATCATCAAATTGCTAGGACTTTTTTGGATCTTTCTTATATTTAGGCTTCTGTAACTATAGTTTATTTAGAATTTGTAAATCTAAGTTATTTTCGAGTTCATTTCAGAAATATGTCAATTTGTGTGATCTTAAAAAAATTTCAAGTTTCAAGCAAATATTTCGAAAATTTTGGTTTTGTAGTGGTTATAAAAACACTATACTTTTCAAATCAGCACCTGGATATCTATATCCCAGAATTTTTAGTCGATTTCCAAAAATTTTTAAACACGAAATTTTCGACTTGTCTTCGGTTACTTTCGAAAAGTGATTTTTTTGTAGATTTCGATTTCCAGAATTTCTTTTAGCCCTCATTTTTGCAAAAATGCCTACCATTTATCCAGAATCGCCCTTCTGAACATTTTTCGTATTTTAGTCTGGAAAGATGAACACACTGTTTTCCAAACGAAAACGTCGAGATCCATATCTCAGATTTTTTTGTTAAGTTTGTTAATAGTCTAAAGTATATAGTCACACAAAATTCTAAAGTTAACACTGACGGTTCAGAATTTACTAAATTAAATTTTAGGAGAAACTGTCCAAACAGAATTTTAACGAGAATTAAATTACCATTAGAATGTTCGCGAACTTGACACATTTTGATTTTTCATTCATTAAGAAATAATTTCCACTCACTTAGTGTTTTTTAAATAAACGTAGTCCTGCTGGTTTCGTCGACCTTGAGACCTCATCCCGTTACCCCGATAACTGGAAACCCCCAAGCACGTGTCCACTCGGTCCTTTAATTTGGAGTATAGATCGAAGTGCAGGTTTTATTCGCTTTGTCTGACGCAACTTAGGTCCATTCTGTGACCTGAATAAGTAAGAAATTATCCGGCCGAGAATCCACAAGAAAAAGCTCCCTTTGGTGTCATCGTAAACTTTTCTCTTTAGACTGGAGTAGCATGCAAATTATTTGGCGAAAATATCATAACTTGCATAACAAAATGTTCGAACAATGCTCTTATAGCAGCTGGCCATCAGGTCACGAGCGTTATGACATGACTTAAAAACAAAGAAAACGAGAAACACAATAATCGTGAGAGTTTTACATAATTTTTGACATGTGGCTTTTTTATTTCGGTGTTTAGTTTTTGATTTCACAACGCAAAGACGATTAATAGAGTTTTAGTAGTGGAGGGTAATATTTGACCGTGTGAGTATAGTTGACATTTCGACGAGGCGGCAAAGTCAAGGCACACTATGATTGGCAAACTTAGACAGTTCGGAAAATTAGCATTATAATTAAGAGCTGGCCATCACGTCCTACGAACTCCGTGAGTGCGATGTAATGAAGCGCCAAATTGGACGAAATTCCCCGTATTGATTTCCTCATTCCGAAAACTTCGCAACAACTACATTCTCGTCTCGTCAGCGCTCGAAAACTAAGTAACCGTCTCGTTTGCGGCAAAAACCCATACAATTTAATTCCTGGAAAGTCTGCAGAACTCCGCATTTACATAAATTGTCACTCAATAAAACCAACACCGTTTGTTTTTACTAGTAACCCATCTACGCAAAACCGCTAACTATCCGAATTCCGAGATCCCGGGGAAACACCACATCCATTTACATAAATCCACAAAAAGCCAAAGACACCTGAAGGACGACCCAAAAAGTTTTCCGCTACCGGCCATTTCCGCCTCCGAAACAAGACAATCCCCATTGTATTCCGCAGGATGGATCGAATAGGCTTCGGTTATTGGTATTCTTTCACATCTTGTAACCTTCACCTCGCGCAAAGAGACAAATGTGCCGGTGCATATAAAAGAGATTTAGAAATTTATTTTAAAGCATTTAGTTCGTCGCGATGAAGGTGGTAACAGTGATAGTCTTCCTCGCTCTTGCTGCGTACTCCAACCAGCAGGTAATTTTTTTCCTTCGAGTTACGTCATGCTGCACCGAGTAAATGTCGCGCCGGTTTCTCTAACCTAAATCGGGTTTTCGTGGACGAAAGGTCGGGGGTCGAGTCACTATCGGTTTCGGGGGCGCTGGACGTCGAGAAAGGGGCTTTCTCCAAGATTCTAGTGCTAAATTTTTACCTCTCTTCGAGTTCCTCAACCCGGATTCGGTGCCAAAATTTTTGACAAAACCTATAGGTTTTTTGAACCGCGGCTCCTACACCCACCACGTGCCCCCTATTACCGCCTAATTAATCGGATTAAGCGACCTTCGTGCTCACTCTTCGGAAAACAATCACACCATATTAATATTGAAGACATAATTAATTTTTTTTTTCGTTTAGGAAACCCAGCCCGAAGACGCAGCCCGCGTGGAGAAAATCCGGCAATACCGGAACGAATGCATCGAGCAGACTAAAGTGGATCCGGTCCTGATCGATCGCGCAGATACCGGCGATTTCGCCAAAGACCCCAAATTGTACTGCTTCTCGAAGTGCTTTTACCAAAAAGCGGGTTTCGTCGCAGAAAACGGCGATCTCCTGCTGGATGTAATCAAGGAGAAGATTCCGAAGGAAACCGATAGAGAGAAAGCTCTCGGCGTCATCGAAAAGTGCAAGGATCTGAAAGGAGGCGATTCCTGCGAGACGGTGTTCCTGGTACACAAGTGCTACTTCGAGAACACTTACAAGAAGGATTAGGGAGAGGTGGCGTGGGTGCTGTGAAAGAAAATCGTTATTTGTAGGTGATGCGAGAGATTTGTCTATTTTTATAAATAAAGAATAAAGTCTGTGGTATTTTTTTATAAACTTACTGTAAGAGAGGAGGAATAAAGAGGTTGCTCTCGACGGTGTTGTTTGATTTGGGTTTTATGATTACGCGGCGATGTGGCGTTAGTGAGATGGAACGGTGGCGCCAAGTTTAAACTTGTGCAAAAAAATATAATATTGTTTATAATCTGACAAACATTACTAATGAATTAATAATTAATGATTATTGTGTTTACTTTTAGAAAGAATGAAATAAACTATTATTGTGTAGCAAAAAGTATCTCCCTGACAACGTTTCGTTAGTGAAACGAAGCGTAGCGTCAAGCTTAAAAAGGTGTAGAATTGGAAATGCGTGACCTTCAAGAAACGTTTGAAGTTTAAAATAAATAAGAAAATCTGAAATTATAATTAATGACTTGATTCGGTTAAATTTATGTTTTTTTTTTCATATTTAGTAAAAATGTTTATATGCAAAAAAATATTTAATCGAACTGAGTTAGTCGTTCGTGCGAGGCGAAGTCGAGGTTACAAAAACGTTTGAGGTATCGAATTTATCTTATTCTACTAATTCGTAAAAAACCATAATTACTTTGTGTTAAATTAATTTATTACCGTTATGTAAGCTGGTATATATTATGTTGTATGTCATATGTGCAATATGCATGTTTTCACTAGTGAATTAACAAAAATAGTGACATTTAGAGAATTATAATTTTTTTAATGAATATAATAAATAAAAAAAAGTTAGAGAACACATTTTTACTGTTCACCGTTGTCTATTATTGACACCTATTCAAATTTTGTTGAAATTTTTTAATAATCCAAATATTGTAATGATTTAGAATTATTGAATTACGTACCACATACAAGTTTCAATAGTTCATAAAATAAATGAGATCGAGGAAAAATTAATCGTGATATAAACTCTGCTCAAATTAAGGAAGTTATCAACTAAAGAATAATTGAATCGAATCTAAAAGCGGTTACAAAAATAGTTAGATTATAATAATATTTAACAGATTTCTTATTTTGAATGTTTATTAATTGTATTGTTATAAACATCCACTTTCTACAACTTCGAGAAATTGTATGCGTGTTTATACATATACAATCTAAATTGTCACATGTCAGTGGTTTTTGGGTTAAAATATAAATGTTTGTGAATTTAGATTAAGATTTACACATTATTTCCGTTAGAAACACGCACTGTATTTTTAATAGTAATTTATAACGCGATGAATACATATTGAGTTATAAAGTTTATCATAAAAATAAAATTGGCAAAATAAATCTTTCGCTTTCTTTGTTCTTTTTTTGGATTTTTTGTTGTCTTTTCTATATCGATTTGTTTTTGTCTCCTTTGTTTGTCGTTTATTATCTTGTCGTTTTTCCTGACAACTATCTTCGTTTTTTGACAGTTTTTTTATCGGTTTATTCGCCTTTTTTGTCACCTTTTTCAGTCATTTTTTGGCAGTTTTGTTTGGGATTGCTTTTTTTGCATTTTTTGTCGCCTTTATTTGGATCGCGATTTTCAATAACTTTTTTTGCCCTTTTCTTTTATCGTTTTTTTACCTTTTTTTTTACAATTTTGTCTCGCCTCTTTCAGTCGGTTTTTTGCAGTTTTGGTTGAAATTGCATATTTCGCATTTTTTGTCACTTTTTTAACGACTTTATTGTCGATTTGTTTCTGTCGTCTTCTTCACCCGTTTCTTCGTTTTTGCCTTTTCATTTTCCCTTTTTTCAATCTTTTTTGTCGCCTTTGTTTTCGCTTTTTGTGACCTTTTTGTTGCCCTTTTTCGAGTACTTTTTTGTCCCTTATTAGGCAACATTTTTGTGCTGTTCCTTTGTGGTTTCTTTATTGTCATTTTTGTAGTTTTTTCGCTTTTTTCGGTTTCTATTGTCGTCTTTTTGTTATCTTGTTCTTGGTCGTTTTTTTGATTTTTTTTCGTTCCTTTGTCCCATTCATTTATACCTTCTTTATTTTTTTGCCTTTTTTTGTTTGCTTGTTTGTCTTCTTTTTAGTTTTTTTGTTGTTTTTCTGTGCCCTTTTTGTTGAATTTTTTTTATCGGTTTCTTAATCCCCATTTTTTAGCCCCCATTTTAGTATTGCCTCCTTTTGACGTCTTTTTTGTCGACTTTTTTGTTTTTTGGCCTTCTTTTCCTGTCGTTTCTTTGTCACTTTTTTGCCTTTATTTGGGTCGTATTTTTCAATAAATTTTTTAAGTCTTGTTTTCGCGTTTCTTGTCACTTTTTTTTATACTTTTCTTTTTCGTTTTTTTCATCTTTTTTACCATTTTTGTGCCTTTTTCAGTCGTTATTTTTGGTAATTCTGGTTGGAAATGCTTTTTGCTCATTTTTGTCGCTTTTTTTGTCGATTTGTTTCTATCGTTTTTTTTACCCCTTTCTTCGTTATTTTCCTTTCTATTTTTTCTTTTCAAATTCTTTTTTGATGCCTTCGTTATGGCTTTTTGTAACCTTTTTCTTGCCATTTTTCAATTACTTTGTGTCCCTCTTTAAGCACGACTTTCATGTTGTCCATTTTTTAGTTCGTTTTTTTAGCATCTTTTTGTTTTCTTTCGTTTTTTTTGTTATCTTTTTGTATCTTTATTTAACGCCTTAATTTCTTTTTTAATTTTTTTGTTTTTTTGTCTCCTTGCCGATTATTTTGTTGATTTGTTGCGACCTTCTTTTGGTGCCTTTTTTGTCGCTTTCGTAATCCCCCTTTTTCAGTCTCGATTTTAGTAATGCCTCTTTTGTCGTCTTTTTTGCCGATTTTTTTTGTTTTTTGGCATTTTTATCCCTTTAGTTGGGTCGCATTTTTCATTAATTTTTTTAAGTCGATTTGTTTTCCTTTTTTTTGACATTTTTTTTTACCTTTCCTTTTTAGGTTTTTTCACCTTTTTTTACCATTCTATGTCGCCTTTTTCAGTCGTTTTTTTTGGCACTTCTGTTAGGAATTGTTTTTTTAGCATTTTTTCGCTTTTTTATTGACTTTTTGGTGGATTTGTCTCTGATTTTTTTTTCACTCTTTTCTTCCTTTCTTTTGGTTGTCTTTTTTTTGGTTACTCTTTTGTCCTTTTTTTGTAGTTTTTTGTTTTATTTTTTTTTGTCGTCTTTTTATCTCTATTTGGCGTATTGTTCTTTGGTCTTTTTTTTGAACTTTTTTTTTCGTTTCTTTGTCCTTTTCATTATTCCCTTTTTATTTTTTCCCTTTCCAGTCTCCCTTTTTCAATCATTTTTGTAGCCTTTGTTATAAAAATCGACCAATTGAACATCAAACATTCTAAAACTTAAAAAATCGAAAAATGATAATATCGAAAAATTGAAAAATCCAGAAATTGAAAAATTCCAAAAATTGAAATGTTGGAAAAATTGAGAAATCGAAAAAACGAAAAATCAAAAAATTTTAAAAATCGGAAGTGTAAAATTAAAAAAAAAAACTAAAAAATCGAAAACTTGAAAAATTTCAAAACTGAAACGTCGAAAAATTGGAACATCGATAAATCGAAATTGCCCAAATTCGAAAAAATCGAAATTGAAATTTAAAAACTATAAATCGGAAAATTGAAAAATAGAAAGTTCGAAACCTGGATAAATTGAAAAATCGAAAAGTTGGAAAGCCGAAAAATCGGAATCCTAAAAGTCGAGAAATCGAAAATCGGTCAACCAAAGAATCTAAATTTTAAAAATTCAAAAAAGTGATAATTTCCAGAAATTGAAAAATTCCTAAAATTGAAATGTTGAAAAATTGAGAAATCGAAAACTTGAAAAACTGAGAAATCGAAAAAACGAAAAGTCAAAAAATTTTAAAAAATCGAAAAACCAATGTCGAGAAATTGAAATATCAAAAAATCGTAAATTCGAAAAATGGAAAAATCGAAAATGTAAAATTTAAAATATTGAAGAATCGAAAAACGGGAATGTCGAAAAATTGGAGAATCGAAAAGTCGAGAAATCGAAATAAAAAACTGAAACATTGAGAAATCGAAACATCGAAGATTGAGAAACCGAAATTAAAACACTTAAAAACTATTAATCGAAAAATTGGAAAGCTGAAAAGTCGGAATCCTAAAAGTTTAGAAATTGAAAATCGACCAATCGAGCATAAATTTAAAAAATCAAAAAAACGATGATAGAGAAAAATTGAAAAATCCAGAAAGCGAAAAATTCCCAAAATTGAAATGTTCAAAAAACGAAGTCAAAAAATTTTTAAAATCGAAAAACCGAGAAATTAAACATCAAAAAATCGTAAAATGGAAAAATGAAAAATGTAAAATTTAAAAAATTGAAAAATCTAAAATTTAAAAAGTCGGAAATGAAAAATCTAAAAATTGAAGATTTTCGTGTTGTCTTTTTTTGTTTTTTTTTGTCACTTTTTGTAGTTATTTTTTGCTACCTTTCGTATTTTTGTCGTCTTTTTTACCTTCGTTTGACGCCTTTTTTTTTTTGTTGTTTTTTTATCTATATTTCGTTTCTTTGCCCATTTCATTTATTTTACCTTTATTTTTTTATCTTTTTTTTTGGATTTTTTTTCTTCTTTGTCTCCCTTGTCGCTTATTTTGTTAATTTTTGAATTTTTTTGGTACCTTTTTTGTCGCTTTCTTAATCCCCTTTTTTTCCTCGATTTTAGTATTGCTTACTTTTGTTGTCTTTTTTTCTAGATTTTTTGTTTTATTTACCGTCTTTTTTCTGTCCTTTTTTTTGGTGACATTTTTTATGCCTTTATTTGGATCGCACTTTTCAGTAATTTTTTTAAGACAAATTGTTTTCGTTGCTTTTTTTGTTACTTTTTTTTGGCTCTTTTTTCGCTTTTTCATATTTTTAACTACTTCTGTCTCCTTTTTCAGTCTTTTTTTGGAACCAATGTTTGGAATTGGTTTTTGTCGCATTGTTTGTCGCTTTTTTTTTATTGACTTTCTTTTTGTTGCCCTTTTCTTTGGTTACTTTTTTTGTTCGTTTTTTTGATATTTTTTCGTTTCTTTGTCCTTTTCTTTATTTTATTTTTGATATTTTTTCCCCTTTTTTTTTCGATTTTTCGTCTCTGTTCTCGCTTATTTTGTTACTTTTTGTCAATTTTT